ATATATATGTATGTATGGATATATATTTATATATATATATATATATGCATACACACACAATCATGCATACACGCACGCACACATGCACTCACATACATAACACACACCTGCACAATAGACACGCACACACATAAACAACGCACACAAATATATATGAGCAGCTCCTAAAACGACTACACAATAAATTTTAAGGCCCTATAACCCTACACTTCAAAACCCTACAACCCTAATCCCCTGCAAGATAAACCTTACAAACCCCTAAACATCTAAAACCCATAAATCCTAAAGCTTGTAAGACCCTAAACCTTTGTCAATTTTAAACCTTTGTAAAACCCTAAACCTTCGTAAAACCCTTAACCCTACAGACATCACGGTGAGTAAGAATCTGGCCGCCGTGTACACGTATTCGTCGTCAAAGGGTCTGTTTGCGGGTGCGTCACTGGAGGGCACCAAAATGATTACTCGCGACAAAGCCAATCAGAAGTACTACGGCGACAGCAAGGACACACTAGGTAGGTAGATGGGTCAGAGGTAGATAGGAAGCAAACACTATACCTACCCAATGCACCCAACTGATTATACATACCCAATGAAACAACTGGCTTCAACTACCCAATGAAACCATTTGACTATACCTACCCACTGAAACCAATTGGCTTTAACTACCCAATGAAACAACTGACTATACCTTCCCAATGAAACCATTTGACTATACCTACCCAATGAACCCATTTGACTATACCTACCCAATGAAACCAACTGACTATACCTACCCAATGAAACCCACTGACTATACCTACCCAATGACTAACACACATCCACTTAAATGAACACATGTACCACTGCGCACAGAGATTCTGATGAAACAAGAACCACCACACAGCGACTTCCGATCACTCTACGCCATACTCAACAAAATGAAAGAGTCTGGTAGCAAGAAGAACCACACGCAAGACACAGACAACAAAGCGTATGTAACACTACTCTGCATGTGGAAATTAGCCCACCCACACACTTATGTGTATGTATGTGTATATGCAT